TTTCCCAGCTTGGCTTTCTCAGTTGGTTGTTCAAAGTCATTACCTCGTATTTCTGCAGCCTCACATCTCTCAAGGACGTGGGTGGCTGCGTTTGGTATGTACTGTTCCGGTGCAAGTCAATGATGAGTCTCTGGATGACGCTCTTTTTGCTCAGCCAGAGTATGCTATGACGATGTCTTTGCTGACTTGTGCCTTCTCAGCTCGGATGCTCGGCGACACAATACATGGACATGGAAAGGAGCGGTGACATGGCATGAGAATATATAAGGCCTTTCGAAGTCGGAATAACTGACTATTGAAACATGAACATTACATATATGCATATATGGCATGTCATTAACCTCATCTATTTAGTGATCCAGTTTTCTAAATTCTTGTCAAAAACGGCATCATTCTCAAAAGATTTCTTCCAGTTCCATCTGGTTACTGTCACTGATCATTATGCTGTCTCTTCTGCTTTATGTTGGCCTAGCCAATGCTGCCGTCGTGCGTAATTCCGAATGTGATTTCCACATGAACGCTGCCGGTTCTCACGGCGGACCTTTGGGCGAGCTCAATGGTGGCCAGATTCGATTCGGCAATATTCCACAGACTACTTTTCACATTGACGGTGACAAGATTTGGGATAGGAACGGCCATGGCTGTTGGTGGACTCGTGAGTTTATTTTCCCTACTTTTTCTGTCTTGTTGATGGTTCCAACCCCCCATATAGACGACGTTCAAGAACTAATTGGTATGCTGTAGCTCCCACCCGAGTCCTTCAGTGTGATACCAATCAGCCACCTGACTCTGGATTCACAATTGGCTGTGATGGAAGGGTCTCTTATCACGGACAGACTGCCTTCTATCAATGTGAAACGGGCGACGACAACCAGTATAACATTTACCTTGGCCCCAACAAAGGCATCAACTGCGGCGAAGTTACACTGACCGCCGACGGTTGTCATATAGCATGTCCTCCTCCTCCTCAACCAGCCAAGAGCTGTCCTGCCAACCTCAACGGCGCATATGAGTTCCCTCACCTCATCGTCTCCGTTGACAAGTCAAACCCTGACAAGGCAGCCGGGACGTCCTTCTTTGGCGAAGTCACTTCCAGCATATCATCCATCTTTAATTTTGATATCCCCGCAGCCGATGCAGGCAAGACTTGCACCCTGGTCTTCCTCTTTCCCAGACAAGACCAACTTACCACATCGTCTTTCACATTTTCAGGAGATGGCAAGATTGACTTCTCCCTGTTGAACTCGCCCGCCACCCAAGGCACGACCTGGAACAACCAGCCTGGAAAGAAGACCGACTACGGTATTACTACTGTCGCCCCGGGGAACAGCTACACAATCGCTTCGTTCCCCTGCCCAGCTGGTCAGGCCATCGGTTTCGAAATGAGCGACTGCGGTAACACCAACTTTCGTTATTTCCAGGATTACAATCCTTCGCCTATTGGTCTATACATCACCAAGTGCTAAAGACTTAGAATCACATGATGGTTCAAAAAGAATTGAAAGGAATGGTTTTTTTGCAATTTCATTTGCAATTTAGTGATATTCTCCAGAAGAGATGAATGACTTACAGAACGACTAAACGACACCTTCATTTGGAATCTTATGCCGCAGTTGGTTGAACATGTAGGGAGTCTGTTGAAAGGCATATCAATGTGTATCACATATTCCACTCAAAATTAATTAAATATATTAATAATACTCAAGAAACACAGTCGCTTTTGCAAAGCTATGCTCTCAACACCATACTACGGCCTTGGTGGTAGAAGTTTTCTGGCGCCCGTTGATTCGGACAAGTCCTGTCGAACAGCAGCCACAGGGTAGCTAGCCAACATGCTCTCTTGCAGCTAAATTTCAAAGAGACATACGTACCTGTGGCTCCAAGCAAAGACATGTGTTGACGGGGATTAACAAGAAACACCGAGGGGCCCCTTTTTTTTGGCATCAGGTTCTGTGTCCTACCAGTAACGGATGCTTCGGCATCGATGTACCAAATTCTGTTTTTTTTTTTTTAATTCTTCGGTATCTGATGCCTCCTGTCTTGTCTTGCCCGCAACAACCCCAAACCACAATAGTCTCTACGTTGATGCTCGATGAGTTCCTGCCCATACACATATCGCCGAGAAGCTGGCACACAACGTACCAGATGTAGCAGCATCTGTGACAACCTCGCTGGCTACCATTACAAGTCGAGTATCGGCCTCGGGATTGATAAAGCGCCAGCGCCAGTTCGGCGTCCCCTTAGTGGTTCGTAGAAGCATTCTCATGTCCAATCCGGGCGTTAATGCAATATCTCAACGTCATTATTTCATTACACTAATGAGTATATGGAGGTTTTAGCCACGGTGGGAGTCAGAACTAATATGTCGACCGGTTAGTTCACAGCTGGTCGAAACTTTATTCCCCTCGAAAGACGGCGGGCCAACATTGCTCCTGATGCTGTACAATTTCAGTCTCCAAGATCGTGGACACCACCATTCGTGTCGCGATGACTTGGAGAGAGAGACGTGGGTTCCGCAACACGGTAGGCTGCGTCCATCACGGCAGGATATCATCAAATCAGTTGCCCTCAAAGGCTTTTCCGAGATGGCAAATCCCTGGCCATACGCACTTCTGGCCAAGTGCCTCATACAATCGGGAGCACTGTGAGCAAAGTTTACTTCTCAAGAACAGGACCTACGTCCTAATTCAGACTCGCACGTGTCTGGGATAGCTCAAATTGATATCAGATGATCCCAGATGATTCAACAGCTTCCTGAGCTAAGCTATCCACTTTCTGGTGAGCTCCAAGTTGCTTCATCAGGAACAGAGACACTTTCTGGTAAGGCCTGAACTCTCAGTGTCGCCATTGTCAGAGTAACATCCAATGAATGATGACCCCTTACCTACCCACAGCCTACAGACCATGGAAGCATGCTCGTCTTCTTTCCTCCCCGATTGACTTTCCCGGGCTAGGAGTCAAACAGAGCTTGACGGGGGTATATAGGCAAACGCCGCAGTCGTCAACCGACCCTGAGCTTTGAGTTCTTCGTTATTCCAGCAACGAAAATACCCCTCGCGCGCCCGTTCTCTTCTATTGAGAAAGATTTCCCCCGACCTCATCTTCAAAAGGGGCACAAGGCTCTATCAACACCACAGTAATCACTGTCATATATCCAAATCGCTCCATCATGGACGAATATACGTGTATTTCGGAGCAGCAAAACGCCTCAACACCCACAACAACCCAACCATGCCGCGAAGAAGACGGATTGGTAGCAATCCCTTACTCAGAGACCACTGCGTGCGAGCCGCCAGTCCCCATGGTGCCTTTAAAGAGTCCCGAGCGAACTCCGCGAGATTGTTCAGAAGAGCCGCCGCCCATCAGCCCGCCTTCTTCCTCATCGTCTATATATGCCGGATCAGCCATTCCGACAGTCTTCGAAATGCCGCAGTCCGCCGAAGAGCATTCGTGTCCTCTCCCGTCGTCCATGCTACAACCAATGTCAGCCTCCATCTACGAAGTCACATGGGAGGACGTATTCCCGGTAGAAGAAGTCATGGATGAAGCAACAGGATTGCCAATCTACATTGCCCCGTGGATAATTCGAAGCGAATCAGACGAGGACGATAACAGAAGAATGGCGGACTGGACGCCGCCCATTGTTCCGATTTCCATAAAGCGCCAGCCCGCGGACAGCCAAGCCGCCAAAAAGCCCTCAACGCATAAATGGAAAAAAGCCCGCGACGTCGAGCCGCTGGCAAGCCACCCAAAGAAGAAGCGCAACTTTTGGATGTCGTTTCGAAGAAGCAAGAAGGCGATTGCCGCAGCCGTCGCAGGCTCAGTGGCATCACTGGAGAGCAGTGAGGGTTCTCCAAAGGACAAGCCACAGCGGTCTGCCTCTTACCTGGGCCGCAAGGGCACCGTTCGTGGGAATCGTGAGTCCGGTTCCGTCGACGCCCCAGCCAGTCCGGCCGGAGAGCCCGATCCTGCACAGAGTCACCCAAAAAAGTCGTTGGTCATAAGTGCCGCAGAGCAGATCAAGCACACTGTTGTATCAATTACTCAGGTCGACGTTCCGACGCCACCGACAACGCCGAAGAGTGAAGAACTTGATCCTGTCGTGGGTGCTGAGATGGGCCACAAGATCACTATTGCCATACCGGAAGCGGAGTTACTGAATGACGAGTTGAGAGCCCGACTATGCTGTTAGATTACTCACCCGACATGATTCTTTTTTTTGTTTTTTGTATCTCTCCTGATGAGGGTTTTTTTTTTTTTTTTTTTGAGCAGAATGACAGAGGCAAATATGGCGGAAGGAAACTGGATGATACCCGAGAAGGCGAAAGGTATATGCTCTGAATTTGGCCAGCGGATGAAGTGCTGGCACTTACAAACCGACAACTCTTGTTTTACTTTGTTACAGTATATCCTCAGTCTTTAATAAAAAGTATTATATTTCCAATGATTGGCGGTTCTCGCGCCACCAGCAATTTGCCAGCAAGGCTTGTCTCCATGCTCACGAGTCACAACTCGCACATAGATGGACAGTAGTTTACGCCCAGTGGTTTCTAACTAGCTACTTGTATAGTCGGTCTCTAGCAAAATCTGTCAGCACATCGGCCTCGTATAACACAGTAGAAGACTAGCTTTAGGATTGCGCGTTGATAAGGCATCTGGGCGTGGCCAAACATCTTTGTCCAAGCTGAAATACGACAAGAGTCATAATCAAGTGCAACCCCGGGACAAGGACCCTGTCCAACTCGGCCATGTCCCCGGCCATATCCACGTCCCCCGCATGAGTGTCTCACAGCCATCAGCAGATTTGTAAATCTCTCTCTTTTTGATGAGAATGTCCGCGTTCCGAGCCTCGTGCGCGCCTTGGGGTTTGTGCAGCATGATGATGCATCTTATCCCGCGAGGCAGCTACAGAACCAACAGACGTCCACATCAACAAAACCATTGCTTCTGGTCTTGACCAGTGGGCGACGGCGACTTGCTCATCCGAATCGGAACAAAACATGCGTCTTCTGAATGCCCACACCCTCCTCCTAGAAACCTTCAACGGGCCAGAGGAAAGCATCCCTCCCTACGCCATCTTGTCGCATACCTGGGACAGCATCGAGATTACATACGACGATTTATGCACTACGTCAACAGAGCTTCTACAAGGCCTGCCAGAATTCCAAAAAGTCACAGAGAGCTGCCACCAAGCGGCGCTCGACGGCTTTGCTTACGTATGGATCGACGCATGCTGCATCGACAAGAGCAGTAGTGCCGAGCTCTCCGAGGCCATCAACTCCATGTTCAAGTGGTATCAACAATCCTCAACGTGCTATGTCTACCTGAAGGACTTTCAGGTGCCGGGCGGGCGAGCCCTGCCAATCCAACGACACACTCAAGTCACAATGCTGGTTGGGAACAACGACTTCTGCTCGTCTCGCTGGTTTGATCGCGGCTGGACGCTCCAGGAACTCATTGCGCCGAGAAGGGTTGTCTTTTTCGACAAGAACTGGGTTGGATTCGGGTCCAGAGACGAGGCTCTCTCCAGCGCCATATGCGACCGCACCAGAATACTCCCACAGGTCTTCACTAGCCGGCACTGCATGTGCTCGTCTGTTTCGAGTGCCGATGCATTGTCCCCCATTCGCAACGGCAAATGCAAAGGATGCAACGCCAAGGACAACCTACCAGATATTCTCGGCTCTCTAAACGCAGCCATCATCATGAACTGGGCGGCACGCCGCTCCACCACCCGAGTCGAGGACATGTCCTATTCTCTCATCGGCTTGTTCAACGTAAATCTTCCGCTGCTGTACGGCGAAGGGGGCAAGGCATTCATGAGGTTGCAGTCGGCCATCCTGGCACGGAACAACGACCATTCCCTTCTTCTGTGGAGGGAAAAAACAGAAAGGGGCGAACAATCGCTTAGACGTCCGGGTTGTCTGTGCAGCTCTCCCAAGGGTTTCGAGGCGGTGCCGCCCATCGTGGCTCAGAGGGAGTATTATGATTTCGACAATGAAATGGTTCCCCGGCTGGCTGTCGGCCTTGTTGAAAGCATGGAGCCAGTAGAATTGACAGAGACGTTGCTCAAGTTGACACTCTGGTTGTGCCCTTGCAAAGTCGGATATCCGTTTGGCGACGGCTCGGATGAAGAGCCTGGTACGGAAGAAGGCTGGGCCCTGGGTATATTGAATTGTCACAGCGCTTCGGACTATGTTGCCCGCCCGGCCATTCTCATGTCACACATGGGTGCAGACCTATACCGACGAATTTCTCACGATTCAGTCTTTGTCGTGAACCCACGGAGGATGCAGGAGAGCCCAGCTGCCATAACTCTCTCGGTGTATCATGGTAACCCAAATATCCAAGATCCTGGGTCGAACTGGACCGCCATTCGGCAAGTTTTTGTGGATGAGTGCGTCCAGAAAGCCGTCAGAATTCTTGTACGTCCTAGCGGGCCGAGCCTGCTGCGCTCAGCGCCTCGAGGATTCGACCAGACGATGTCGTCAATTGATGCCGTTTGTTGTGTAATTAATCAGCCTCTCCGGGGTAATTGCGTCCTGACTGTCAAGACCATGGGAGGGTATCCGAGGATATACTGTCACGACTCTTGTCCGCCCACAGTGCCTATGCTGCGGAGTTTTGTCAAGTACAACTGCAAAGGGGGGTTCGGTCTTATGGCCGGCATCCACCTATTCGAGATTGGAATGTCAGGTTCAACGGCAAAGATGAACATGTACCTCATCTGGGGCCTGTATCACGACGAAACCAGACGGCAAGGCCAAGTTCGGCAAAATACCACCGCAAGGCCCTGGTGTCGTATTTTTAGAGCGTCGGACTTTACCGAGGAGGTTGATGTCCCTATTCACGAAACTGGAAAAGATGATTTGCAGTATCAAAAACAGCTGCATGCGTGGCTAGTGAAAAGGAGCTCTGACCCGTGCTGGCAAATCATTACTCGGCAAGGCGCTCGGAAGCAAGTGATGCCAGATCTAAGTAGTGACAATCAACGCGAAGGAGACAGAATCTTGGGCCTGTTTCCACATTCCGACGTGCGCGTGGGTGTAAGCGCCCGCATAAATACGACACAGGGCTTCGGGGTTACGTCGAATGATATCGAGATGACCTTTTTGACTCCCGATTGTAGGGGATGGCGGAGTGAGTTGTTTGACGGAAGCCAGAGAGACCAGGAATTAGCGTAGCTTCTCTGGCGCTTTAAGTCTCTGGGAATCTGTGTGGTTCTGGCTTGGTCCAACGAACATCGAATACCTGGGTTGATATTCGGTATGCCTCGAGCAAGTACTCGGTAGAGCTATGAGATGGAGCGGATTCGGAAACGTGTATACGTTCAAGGGCACCAAAGCGCCGTAATAAAACAATGAAACATTGTAGTTAACGCGTACTCGGTATGAATAGCTGTGCTGGCAACAGAAAGCAGGCGCGGCAGATGCGGCCTGAGCCTGCATGTATCAAGCAATAGAGTCTGGTAGGCAGTTTCGGAGATTGTGACAAGTCGTCAAAGTCGGGTATCCCCATGTTCAATTGTTCGGCTTACGTTTGCTTGCTCCCAAAAAGCATATGTATGGATTATCCAAGTGGAATTCGGTCCATCAAAAGCACTCTTCTAGCGGTTCATCAGCATCGAACATTTAGAAAACGAGTAGCAATGATGCCAACTTGTCAAGGGTATGAGGGTCAAGAGTCAAGACAGCCAGGCAACAGTGGCTGTGCTAACAAATTTGTCTCGTCAGGTCGTCCAACATGTCATCCCTGTTCGCTCGCTTTCGCTTTGGCTGCCAAGAAGGAGGCGACCCACGTGATAAACCTGGCATTCGTCTCACCATCGACGGGGAAATTAGAATCTGACAAAAGCCGCAAAACGCCCGCCGTCGCCGTTTCGGAAAAAAAAAAAAGGAAAAAAAGAAAAAGAAACATCTCCAAAAAAGTAAGGCCCGAAAAAAGAGAAGGTCGGGAGAGACTCTGTGGCCCGGATTGTCGGCTGCGGCCGTCGTTGACGCCTCGTCAATCTACAAGGCCAAGCCTAGACATACGCGGCCGTAAACCTGATTGACGCGAAGCGGGCAAGCAAAGACAAGAGCGCGGCTCTCCGGCAGAGCGCGGAGCTCGAGTTTCTCTAGATTCTCATCATTACCATAACTGTCCCCGTGGTCAAGGAGGCAACAACGATGGACATGTCTACGCGGCGAGACGCGGCAAACGACAGCTCACGAGGGCCAGCGCAGCCCTCAAACACAAACACATCGAGCTCGCACGATTCGAACTCCTCAGGGGCCAACCGGCCAATGACTCCTACAAAACCAAAGGGCGTCACATGGGCAGAGGACCAGTTGACGTTTTATCGCGAAGGAACTCCACCTCCCTTGGACCATGACGGTTACCAACAGGACAGCTTGAGCACAGGCCCGCATGCTGCTGGCGCGTACTCGTACGATTACAGCTACGATCACGTGGCTCCTCCTGCTCCTATCCCACAGGCAACAATATGCGGCCTCGGCAAGCGATTGTTTTGCATGATTGTCGCCGCAGCCATTCTAGTCGTGGCAATCGCTGTTGGCGTGGGCGTGGGCGTCGGAGTGGGTACGAGACATGATTCAACATCAGACGAACATGACTCCTCCACTATTACTACGTATGTCTCAAGCGCGGGCCCCCTGAGACGAAGTGTTTCGCAGAGTATCCCGCTGCGTCTAATGGAGAAAAAGAAAGGACCTGGTGTATACTAACAACCGTGCCACGCACACAGTCCATCGGTCCATACCGTCACGCCAACCTCGATAGCGGCCAACCCCACGCAGACGGCTCTGCTGGCCTGTCCCGCAGCGAACAATACCAATTACGAAGTCCTGTCGGTTAGAAAGACCTTTCTACGGGTATGCGGAGTCGACTATACCGGCAGCGAAGGGGCGGCCGACTTGGGTGTTGTGTGGGCGTCCAGCATGCAGGACTGCATGAATAGCTGCGCTGGATACCCGGACTGCACCGGATGTAGTTGGGGCATGATCCCTGGGGACGCTGGCAGCGATCACAGATGCTGGCTGAAGAGCGAGTTGAAGACGCCTACTGCCGTTCGGAGCGGCTGGGACTTTGCCATTTTGCAGTGACGGATCACGTACACGGCATTTGGCGTGTTTGTACTATTTTTACGACGACATCTGCGGCACGATGGAACGATGATGCTGAGAAGAACATGTAATGCATAATATATCCCGACCCACATGTACCAAAGACAATCTAAACTAGAATGTTCCAATACACATGGCATATTTCAACCAACATGTACCAAGGACGATATTGACTATGATACGTTAATGCATCACATCTGGGATGCGTTGGGAGACGGCATGGGGCAGCCTGAAGACTCTGTCCCTTTTACCTGTAGGCCTTGGCCTTGACATGGAGATTGATAGCTAGATGCATTATATGCCTAGAGCTAGGACATTTTCATGCATGGATAAATGCATCACGCATTGCGAGGCGTGTTTGCATGGTGCTTCCTTCGGCATGTCACGGTTCTCTGGTGTAGGTACGACCGCCTGCGGTGTTTGTACAGTTGGGCCTACCTTATGCAGGGCTGGATCGAACATTAGGATAGATTAAAAATTAATAGATACTCAATGCAGAACATGTTTCAGCTCAACGTATACAGTTGGGTTGATGGGACCAATCACCTCGATAGAACCACAACTCACACCAACAATACTTTGTTTTAGACGGGTCCTGCGATCGGATTGGATAACAGACCGCTATCTCTGTACCTGCCCAATGGCTCGTGGAGACACTATGCCAGGGGCTTCAGGCCAATCGAACGTCGACGGTTATGTAGTATATTTATTTACTGTAAAATTAGTAGATAATAGAGGTACCGACAATCCAGTCAAGTATAAATTACTACATTAACCAATCATTGGTCTGCCTGGCGGCCAATGTTTCATACCTAGGTACATACTGTATTATATCAGCAGCTTGTGGCGGGGGGCGGGGGGGCCCGGGGGGCGGTGGGGCCACAAGCCAAACCGCAGCATCATATTTTGGTTCCTGACAGCCAACCCCGTGCACGGACACTAACTACTAGTTGGACCCCTCACAAAACGGCCCAGTATGACTTGGCGTTGTGTGAAAAGGCTTCCCAGCTCGAATGCTCTCAACGCCAAGCTTCCGCCACCCGCAACATTGCGTAATCTACGTGCGATGCAAAAAGAACAAGAAAAAACAGCAACAAAGCGTTGCATGATGGGGGCGCACACTTCAGATGCACAAGTCAGTGTCTTTGACTCTCCTCCTGAAGAATTGCTCCACCTCCTTGCCTCACAGCTCCCCGCCTCGCTCACGCTTCTTCGACGGCTTCAATTTGCCGTGTACCGCAACTGCACAAGGCCGGATGCGCGTATCATTCTCTCATCTGATACCGGCCAGATTAGAGATGGACCAACCAAGCCGGCATGCTTTGCTGCCGCATATGCCGAGCTCTCCACGGGGCCGAATACACAAATGGTCATGTACTCGTCCATGGAACAGGGTAGGCCGAGTGATGAGAAACTACCAGTCCACGAGGGGCATATCATGAATATTGTCCGGACACTGGCGAAACTACGTAAAGAATACGGCGGCAAGCTGGGCTACGGCAACAGTCTACTTGTAGGCAATTTGCATTCAGACGTGCATGACATCTTGGCCAAGTCGGGAAGAGTGACAGCACGGCGGGATTACGACAAGTGGCTGTTTAGGATGGAGCATGTGCCGGAGCTGAAAGAGACTCTGGATCTGGCGGGAATGCATTGGGGGACGGCCTCTCTGGAGGACTGCAGGGTTGTTGCTTCGAGAACGGACATTCCCCGGCCGCCGTGAGTCTCTTCTTGCAGACAAGATGATTTACAAAAATCCCAAAACGCAGCCATGTTGATGGTTTCTGCTCATATAGGGAGCTACTGGTGCAGCTTCCGGGCTTGATGTTGAAGCTGCAAGACGGAACGCCGATTGCCTGGGCCTTTATTGGTGTGATTTTGTGTCTCTCCTCCGGGGCAACCCGGGATTGTCGCTGACACCGAAACAGGGCTACACGGCTCGTTGATAAGTCTGCATTGCGAGGTGAGCCGGCACTGTTGCCCGGTGGCGGGTGAATCATGGCCACACGCTGGTTTTCTCACATGGCACCATAGGACGGCTACCGCAGACGAGGCATCGCCAAGTTATTGGCAGCCAAGCTCCTCCGCCGGACAGGGGTTGAATTCTCCGATGCCAAGTATGCAGGCCACGAATGGTCTTGTGCTGAAGTGGCGCGGGATAACGAGGGCAGTCGAGCAATATGCAAGAGTTTAAACGCCACGCCGCCACGCTGGTCTGTATCATGGTGAGTGTAGTGCTGCATGCGTAACCCCTTGGAAGCCCGTGACTCAAGACACTTTGTTCTAGAAAGACTTTTTTTTTTCTAAAAATTTTTCTAGGGCGACGCTAGACTTGTCAGAGAGTGCGCAGAGTTGAACACTCGAAATTTCAGCTTGAGCGGTGTGAAGTTGCGAGTCAAGGCAACAAGAGTCATTGACTCATGCATGCCATGCCGTCAAGAGAGGGAAAAAAACAACAACTGGTTTGAAAACAATACTACAATATATAACCCCTGAAAGTTTAGCCATATATGTGTGACATCAGTGAATGGGGCCAGCTGTAAGGTTATTCGTTAACAGCTGTTAGAGTGGGCTGTCAAAAAAACTATCCCTTTGACTGTGTTAAGGTGCATTAGATACAGCGAATTAGGGTTCTGGCCAATCAGAAACCTGATTACATAGGTACATTAATCTACTAAGAAATAATATAATAATTAAAGTCACAATAATTTTCTGAGCTACAAGAAGTTATACTACCTACCTACCAAGGTAGGTATATAACCGGCCTAAATAGTTACAAAAAAAAGTACCCTGTAGGTATCGCAGAAAAGTGGAGAGACAGCTACATCCAACGCACCTTAAAACAGCCAAAGGGATAGTATTATCAACCCAAAAACGGCTCAAATTATAAGAAACAATCCGAAACACGTAGGGCATCAATCTGAAACACACCAACTTTGGAGGGCTTTCAAAGCTTGGTGTCACCTGATGTTGGTCCTTGGCAAAGTAAACTTTGGGCTGATTATCCGCCGCAGCCAATCAGCAGTTTCGCCGGTTCGGCTCGGAGCGCAAAAGAACTTTGGATTCCTTGTTGACCTCCTCTCGGGTGGGATAGTACATATCTGATGCCATCGCAAAGCAGCACACGCATGGCTTATACGAGAAAGACAACATCAAAATACATAATGGCATCATCCCATTCACCTGCCACTCAGCCTCTCTGCGGAATGAAATCGCAATCGCGCAATCTGCCTCTCTCCGGGGATTAGCCTCGTTCGCATATCAGAGTACGACTACCCCACGGTCCACAAGCCAGGCAAGGTGTGCATTTAGCAAGATGCCGTTATTTTTCCGACGGCTCAGAGGCTGATCTGCCCATGGGACATGGGATACGGGACATGGGATATGGGACATGATGGGACATGTCAGGACGCTTGACACCCAAGCTGCCCATGTACCCCTCGGACAGAATCCGTATCCATGCGCGCCGCAGGGCTCTCTGCTATTGCACTGTAGTACTACTACTACTCTGTATATACATACAGAGTATACACAACAACAAGACACGACCAGGTTCGAGGGCTACCCTGCTAAAGGAAGAGGAGAAGGGGGGAGGGTATCGTCAAGGATGCCCGCCCCTATACCCACGTACGCACATGAAAAAATGCAAGAGGAATGGGTAGACCCTTGCCACATCGGCATTGGGCGACTATCCGGCGTGATCCAGTATGGGGTAAGTTACATACATACAGCGATGAGCCACGCACTTGCCGGAGCCGAGTGCCAAATCAGTCGCGTATTCCCGGCAGCCAGGGGGGTAGCCCTTGGCACGTTGCGAGTCAATATACATACGCCCAAAACTTATCAGAAGACACCAGATCTTATTCATGCAACGTCCCGCACTGACGCGTTATACGGGACAGCCGCGGCCCTGAGACCCAGACTGGGGCCGCGGACGTCGGCATTTGTGGGAGGAGAATCGGGCGGAGAGGCTGGGTCCTGGGACATAGTCCATGAGGCTCTGGTTTCACATATATGTACCAAGGCGAGGGGGCTTTGACAGCCGCAAGAGAAAAGGGTTTCGCGTTTCTCCATGCCAACTCTCGAAACTCTCGAAGCTCTGTCAGCCACGTGGAACGGACGGCAGTCGAGCCTCCAGGAAGGGTCGCATTGATGGTGGAATTAGGGCCCGAAATCTGGAGAGGGGCTGAAAATCAAACCAAAAAACTCGGTGACGACTTGGGTGAGTAGCATCATAGGCAAAGGGATAGGGATGGGCGCATCGCGAGGTTGCATGCCAGGGATGGCAGTGCTACCCAGAATCGAGAGGAATGAATCGGACATGACGTCGCCGGAGAATATTTCCATTCTGGGGGTGGAAAACGGGAAAATAGAAGAACAGGAGAGGAGAGGAAAGAGGAAAGAAAAAAAAAGCCCAGAGGTTGCCGTCACATCGCGCCATCTCATCAAGCGCTCTAGAAGAAATTAGCACGCCCAAGGCTCAACTCTGAGCGTCAATCGGTTCTCGTCTACAGAGTTCTTGTCACCTACATTCTTATCGTCCCGACCAGAGCCGCCGTCGTCCATGCCGCGGCTGTTTAAATTTCAATGCCCCGACGAGCACCCAAGGGCCGGAATGCCGTCTCGCCAGCACGTCTCGAGTCTTGGAGTCTCGACACAAACATTAGCCCACGCGGGCCTCTTTTCCCCGTAGAAATCCAAAGTCACAAGGAACAAACAGATCCGCCAACGACCCCGTTGCGAGCACGCAATCATACAATCGCCCGTCTCTGATAATGGGGCCGATGGCTTTATAGCAGCTGCCGTCCCTTCTCGTCGGGGCGAAGACTGGCGAGGCGTTCCCGTGAGACGGCGGCAAGCTGAAAATCACCTCACCGCGCGGCGGCCTCCCGGCTCTAGGTCGGGCATCGTTCGACTATCAGGCCGGAGCGACTGCAGGATACATGATTAGCGCGTTGGCGTTGGACGAGGTGGTTCGTCTTTTCGATGGCAGTGGGCCGCCGGCTCGCAGGTATCGTCAAATAAATGTATGTATGTATGCATTCGAGGCCCGTCGTGAGCATGAGCATGACTCCATCTCGGCTCTGCCCTGCGCATGAATATGCCCCATGTGTACTAGCACCCGTCGCCGCGATGTCTCTGCTATCGATTTATTAGACTTGATAATAGACTTGGATGAGCCCTTTGTCGCTCGCCAAGCAGGCGAACCACGGTGTGCGCCTGCACGCCTGCAAGCTGGCCTGGTTCGAGTTGACATGCCGGCCCATCGAATCAATGCTGGTCCTGGTCCTGGCTCCCTCCGATTTTCATGTCCATCCATCTAGTATGTATGGCCTGTGCGTGTGCCAGGTGTGCCAGTCCAGTGCCAGTGCCAGTGCCAGTGCTAGTGCCAGTGTCAGTGCTAGTGCCAGGGCTCGGTGAACTACCCCGTGTTTCATCGCCCGAGAGTTGAGATGCGTCGATAGTATTCGCTCAAGATCGCTCCCATCCTCCCACTCGGTGAGCCGTCGCCAAATGATGCGCCCAAGGCCCGATCCGTCGATAATAAGGGGTGAACCGCGGCCGCTGCGGTCGTCGGTGTGGTGCTGTTGCGGCATCCATGGCTTCCACGGCTCGAGGCTGCTTGCTGCAGAGTGGCAACTTGCTAAGTCATTGCTTGGCAACCTTTTTGTGTGTATTTTTGTGTGTACTACTACTACCATGGCATGACACGTGCATCGATGTTTTGACGCCGGCAGATACAATACGAACAATCATTTCATTCCATCAACCCTGAGAGCTTCTAATTCTACTACTACACTACTGCTAGCCGAACAACCCCAGCCCATGTTACAGGTATAGCTCCTTGAGATATGCCTTGGCCTCATCTGAACTTCCACCCACAAAGCCAAGGTACATGTCTGGTCGGACTACAACCACAAACGCATCGTCCTTGGATGCCCAGTCTGCCGTGTAAGTCCTGTTTGAGTCGTCACCCCCAGCTGCCGACTCTGACGCAGGGCGAATCGTGTAGTGGGTTACAATGTCGCTGAAACCAAAGTCGGGGGCTGGCGCTCCGCCAATGTGCAAAACCAAATACTTGCCGTACGTTGTTTCTGTGTAGAGCCTAGTCTCAGCCCCATCCGCCTTATTCAGGATCATATCGGGGCATCTGTTGCCTGCCTTCCAGATGCCGTGCTCTGAGGCCTGCACCAGAGGGGAGCCAGACTCGCGATAGGTTACTCCCATGCCTTTGTTCGCGCACACTCCATGTTAGCTCGTCTTCTTCTGCTTCGTCGTGCATGCTCTCGCTTACCAGTGATGTACCCTGCATTCTTCTCAATAGTACCAACATACTGCTTGGCGGTGTGGACGGTGTCTCTGACCAGAGCCGCGGCAACGTCGATGACATCTCGCGCCGTGCTTCTCCTCTCGGTATCGTAGCTCCCAATGATTTTCTGCGCGGCCCCTGGCTGAAGGTTCTGGTTCTTTACGACCTGTGCCAGACGCCAAGCAAGATTGAAGGCATCCGACATGCCCGTGTTGAGCCCCTGGCCGCCGTTCACCGAGTGAACGTGGGCCGCATCACCTGCTAGAATGATACGGCCGGACCCATCCTTGGAGATAAAGGTTGACGCAATTCTCTCCTTGACTGCATGGGCCGTTAGTATCCCGCCATCTTTACGGCCCGGGTAGACCCGGAAAAACACTTAGCAGGTGGATAAACATTCGAGACGTACCGTCAAAGGTGCTGTACCACTCAGTCTTCTTGAACTCGACCCTATGGGGAGCCATGTGCTCTTTAATCGACTCTTCAGCTCGTGCCTGCGTCACCTCTCCGTCCAGGAGCACGTAAAATCGGCACATGCCGCGCTCTCTGGGAATCCACGAGACGCGAGACTGTCCATTCAGCTGAAAGGTGATGATCTCTGGGCAGAGAGGAAAGTCGGTGTCGATAAAGGTATCCAACACCGCCCACAGCATTTCAGGCTTTGTACCAGTAAACGTGGCTCCGATTGCCTGGCGAACCATGGACCTTGCGCCGTCAGAGCCCACGGCGTACTTGCTGCGAACCCTGAAACCGGAGTCCGTCACGGTTTCAACGCCCTCGTCGTCCTCGGTCACGGACACGACTTGCTCCCCGAAACGCACGAGGCCCTCGCCGAGCTTGCTGGCAATGACCTTTTCCACGACTGGCTGCCCAACCATGAGGAAATTCTTGTGCAGCGTGTTCTCAAGGCCAACCCACCATGTGTTCTGGCGCGACTTGAACTCTCCATCTGCAAAAGTAGAGCTGGCTGCGGGCACAGGTAAGCAAGGGGTCAAGTTTGATGCAAGCGACTATAGGCGGGACGAAGCGGCTCACTGTTGCATTTCAGACCGATGGGTAGGAGCTCATCCAGGAGCTTGGCTACTTCTAGGTACTGCTGAGTTCGCGCATTGAGTGCATCAGCTCTTCCCAGCTCAAGAGTGCTGGGCTTTCCATCTGCAGAACGGGATTAGAGACTTATGCAAGTGGTTTTTCATGTCAAGGAATCATACCTATGATGCAGACAGAAACGCCAAGGCGGTGGAGCAAAAGGCCAGTGAAGAGGCCAGTTGGCCCGCCTATGATGTGTTAGTCTTCAAGTTGTTTATGTTTTTCGGGACAAAGTAAACTTGTTAAAAGGAGGGTTGGACAACGTACCGCCAATGATGCACACATCTGTGGTTGCAACTTTGGCTGACATGTCTCCGTTGGCGTGCATTTTTGTCTGTCTGGTCTTGTTCTTTGTCTTGTCTTTTTCTTTTTCTTTTTTTTTTCGTTGAGTCTTGTCAAAATAAAAAGTCAATAAGTCTTGAAGGAGATGCTCAGCAGGTTGAGTAGGAGCAGATGTGTACATTTACATTAATCTATTGAGGTGAGCGGCGGTCCCTGACTAATGAAATCATATGATATGATTCGGAAAATTTCTGTGCATAATGATTAACAGCTGCGGCTATGACCATTCATGAGTCGCCCAGTGAAACACGCCAAAAAGCAACGGCAAGCAGTTCCAGCTTTCATCCCTGTGGCCCTAGCCCGGTCTCATCTCATAATAGGCACTTTGAACGCTCGGCAAGCGATTCATACTGCATCGTACTGAGCTTCGGCGGGCCCGGCTTCTGAGACTGGTCATTATTCGACAAAGTTGCGCGACAGGCTGTACTTACAGCAACTAGTCAAGCGTCAACTAGTGGCAGGGTTCAAATGTTGTCAGACAACCAGGATGTCTTCTATCCACATCAAGTCCATGCCCGGTGGAATCAGGAAACCCCACCGCGCGCGGTTCTGATAATCGGCACTCCTTACTGCCATCCCACTCGGTGATCTCGCCAAGCATTGAGTAGCACACTCTATATCCAAGCTTCCTGGGAATAAAGTTGCGTAACGTTGAGGCTTCAACAGTGGGCCCCCCCCGGCACGAGTAAGTCGACGGGACCAGGTAGATTAAAGCCGCCATCCAAGCCACGACAGTTTCATCTTTCCCGTCGCGCGCCGTGCTGTGCCGCTTGGCGGCATGTCATTGCAGAAACACTGTATGCCCGGTGCATAGCAAGACACGAAGCCTGGCGCGGAGATGCTGTCATGTCGTCTCATCGATGGCGGAAAAATCCCACATCCACCGAAATGAAGAAGCCGGCGCGCTTCGTTGTCCAAAGATTGTCGAACCATTGAATGTCATGGACCCTGGAGGGCCGATGTTACACCACCAGCGCCTGTCATCCGTTCTAGCGCTCGGTTTCGCCAAATCAAGCTCCTAGACTAGAAGGATTTTCGAATCCTGCATCCCAGAGACAGCCGTCGTTGGCGCAAAGACGTAATCATACACGGTGTCATGGTTGTTTTGAGCCAGCCGATTCGGTCCACCATCCTGAAAAGGCAAGTCCTCAAGCGTGGCACAAACTAGCTATGCAGTTGGACCTTGGCCGAAGTAATAGAAACTCTCCAAAGGCTTCGTTACATCCTCTTGGCGCCTCTTCCTAGATAGAAGGTGCTGGTTAGGGCTGAATGCTCGAGGTTGGTGTCGTTGGTGTCGTTCATGCGGTTCATGTGGTCTCGTCCTATGGCCCTTCCCGCGATGGAACTGATGATCAAGCAATCCATGAATCCCGCCAAGTCGATTATCATAGATATCCACATAGTAACATGAGGACCTGGCCACTCTATCCTGATCACTGACCCATAAGTTCCTCACGACGCCGAGTAATCAATCGTGAGTAGTGTGATGGAGTGTTGCTCTGGCGTGTCATTTACATGCTGGTCCTTGTTTCGACGCCCCTCTGCGGAGAGTCGGTTGGGGTCAGTCTTACGCCCTTCATTTCTGTGTGGAACTTGTTAGCAACTGGTAAAACTGGTACCGGCAATGATTAAAGCTGGAATCGGCATTGAGCCTATAGCACCTACAGCGCTATTCGTAGCCATCACCACGAATCACGTAGCTGTTAGACCTGACCCCTGCACCCTTGCTCAATATGTACTATGCTCGAGGCAATACTCCGTACTCTTGAGTCTTCACCCCTATTTGTTTTCGGTGCACAAGACCCGTAAATTTGCAAGTCAGTCAACAGCTCTCTGTTGCTGACGAAACACTGCTGATGGCAGCCCACCATCCCATACCCCATGTGGTGGATGCAGTCAAGAGGCATCACACAACGGGAGGCTAATATGCGATCCTTCGAACTCATAAACGGCGCTCATCCTGCACTCAATCCTGCATCTCAACCTCTTCATTCCATCCTTCAACATCATCCCAACAAGTCCTATATCCTCTCACTATCTATCTGCTCCTTCTTTCTCTTATACCATGCCCAGTGCCGTATCACCAGCGCATGAAGCCGCCTCTGCGGAGGCCAAGGGAACCAAGAGTCCTCGAAGCCTCAACATTGACGACTTCCCACACTTGGTAGATGCATCGGCTCTCGACACCGCATCAAGAATTCTGGGTGTAATCGACCGATATCGTTTGCAAAAGTCAAACGATGCTCCAGTTGGAGCAGGCGAAGGCGGCTTGAAGTTTCTGGCCGTCATTTACAGCCACATCAAAGCTGGCAAGGCTGTCCCAATGTGCCTTCCAGCCTTCCCCTTCAAGTCTCCAAACAGATCAGCAAAGGTTCTCGGCAAGAATCCCGACAGGGCAGAAGAACTTGCTTTAAGCCACCTTAACGGATTATGCCAAGCCATTACAGACATATACCCCCCTGGGGCTAAACTCACCATCATCTCGGACGGACTTGTATATAATGGTGAGTTCTATCCTGCGGCCGATCTTTGCATTTGTATGTTGTGTCTCGAGGCTGATCAATATAGATCTTCTTGGTGTCCCCGATAAGGATGTCTGGTCATATGGTGAGAACCTTCGGCTGCTGGCCAAGGCAAAGGGCTTCACCCAGATTGACTTCTGCCGACTGCGAGACCTTGTGCCCATCTCTCTGCCAAATGAGCTGGATGAGATGACCTATGTCGCAAACGCATCGAATTTCCGCCGATCCCTCCTCAACACTTTCGGCAACCCAAATTGGGAATGGAAGGAAGTGTGCCAAATTGAAGATGTATGCCTCACATACAGAGGCTACATCAAATTCCTGGAAACCGACTTGGCAGAAGTCTACCCGCTTCAAGAGGATCGAAGCAAGTCTAGGTATAAGCGCGGAATCGAGTATATCGCAAAACAAATGATGTATCGCGGAGATGTGAGTTTTTTTCATCAACCTCGGACCACTGGGTTTTCGGTGCACGTTGACTAACAATTCGGAAAGGCATTTGCGAGCGCTGTTCGACAAAAGTACAAGGACCATGTTCGTCTGTCGATTCATCCTTCCACTGGTGCCAACAAACTCTCAGTCAGCCTGCTTCCCACCACCACCATGTTCACAACGCCATGGCACTGCACCGTTGGTTACAAGCTCGATGGCACGGTGGTCTCTGGTATGCGATCCGATTTCGAAAAGGACGAAACGTACGAGTTGGTCTTCGAGAATGGACACCCTAGCTATTATCGTGAAAAGTCGGACCTCTTTTCTTGGGGTACTGAGAAGGGTGGTGTGACTTTCGAGCCGATATATCCAAGTGGTTGGTTGTTGAAGCCAGCCGCTGGGCCGGGTTCCTTGACCATCAATGACGTTGATGCGAAGAAGGTTCGATCATTGTCTGAGATCAGCTCTCCAGTTATCATGCGTGGATTCTTCAAGAATCCCAAGAAAGAGGCTTTCATCGAGAAGTCCAAGGAGTTTGGTGAGCCTCTGCCATGGAAATTTGGGCTTGTTCTTGAGGTCAAGGACCAAGGCACAGACACTCGCGGCCTCAACAACGTCCTTTCGGCCGAGTGGATGCCATTCCACTACGATGGACTTTTCAAGACCGCCACACAGGTCAATGACAAGGGCGAAGAAGTTTGCGTCTCCGTTCCTCCCCAGTAAGTTGTTGAATTTTCCCAAGTATTGCGGTCTGAGATAAGTAGCTGACAACTCCATAGCTTCCAGTTTTTCGTTGGCGCCACCTCCTCCCCCAGAGACACTGGCTTCACATTGTTCTCCTCGTCAACCATGTTCTTCAAGTATCTGCCGAAGTGGCTGACGGCGGAGGACCTCGCGAAGAAGACATGGTCAGTCTCGACATCCTCCTTCGACGCAACCAAGCTGAGGGGGCTTCCGTTGGTTATTTCCCATCCTACGACGGGCAAGCCATGCCTCCGATATCACGAGCCATGGCCGCAGACCAAGACGCAGTTTGAGGCTACCCAGGTCACCCTCGACGGCCATGATGAAGCGAGCAACCAGGCCATTTGTGAAGCCATTGACGCCACGCTTCACGACAGGCGAGTTGCATATTACCACATTTGGGAGAAGGGCGACCTGGTTGTGAGCGACAACATCTTGATGATGCACACGCGAAGCGACTTCACCGCTGGAAGTGATCGGGAGCTCTGGCGAATCCACTTTGACTAGAAGCGTTGAGAACCTCGAGAAGTCGTAAATATGTTCGAGAAGTGTTAGCGCGTCTTCATTTGCTTCGAATTTGATCTGTACTTAGAAAGTTGACCTATTTTGCGATGCATTTGTTTTCCCTTGGAGTAAGGACATGAAAAGAATTCAATTGGACTATAGTTATAAGTAAACAATCCTCTCTTCTAACTTGTGCATTTCCTTGCTCGTGAATTGTGGGTGGCGGCGCGACACAGTAGTAGTATCGCAACTCACACAGTACCATACATATCTAGTAGGCTACCAAGTACCAAGTATCCATCGTGAACATCGCAAACTGGTCCAGATTCACGACAGCGTTGGTCTGCTACTTTTATCTCATGGCTGTCACTAATTGATTGCTAACACATCTATGTGAGGTACCGGGACTAAGTTCAAGAAGTGTACATGATTAGTCTGTCACTTTGACGACTTTTGCGCACCACGAGTGCACGACAGGCACAGCTGAGCAGTCCAAGGCACAAATCATCATGTCGACATTTGTCGGAATTGTGGCCGAATTTCCAGAAATACGAAGTAAGTCTTTTGGCGTATTGCTGGATTTCATCTTCAATATGGTTTTAATATCTTACCAGTCGACTTCTTCAGACGACAGCCGGATCAGCCTCCACCTTTGGCATGTTTCCTAAGCCACGTCCATAGCGACCACCTAGCCGGACTGGAAACATTGCGCTCCCCTTTGTTAGTAGGAAATCGCCCTCACGAGCCTAGTCTTCGCCATCCTAACATGTAAAGTGTATATTGT